TCCTGCTGATTTTGGTCAATAATATCCCAAATTAATTTTAAAGCTTCAGACACAGTGAAGGTAAAAACATAGGAATATTGTTTATATTTCTACACCAACCCTTCTTTGCAATATGAGGGAAAAGTAATAGCTTTCAATCAAACATAAACTGTATTAAAATATATAATAAATAATATGGAAAAAGCACAACTGTAGATCCTTTGAAGTTATTTTATAGTTACAGTAGATCAAATTTGTATAACACTTTTTAATTTGAAAGATTTAAAATGGCTATCAAGAACTGAATATATGGCATAAAAATATAGCAGTTGTTTAAGAGGAGCACTGTTCAGCTTTGGTTTTGAACTTTATTGTTGTGCAATTGCATACACAATACAATGTGTATTTGCAACTGTAGGAAAATGGAAAGAATATATTTACATGAGCTTGTTTTTAACCAGGACACTGATACTGAAAGTTCCTGTTATTTCCAAAGGAGTTTTTCAATGAGAAATCCTGGGGCTTATTTTATATGTCTTACGGGTGAGACAGCCCTGATTTAGACAAGTGTTTTTTCTATGGATATAAAACTTGTCATTCAAGTAAAAGGGTGGTACTGTAGGGAATAAGAATGACTTGAGATCTTTCAAATGGAAGAGAATGTTGCTATTCTTGACTTCGAACGACAGGCATTCTGAAATAAGGATATTTCAGAAATGTCTCACAGTTTCTCTTTAAAGACCTCAGTGCAGTCTTTAGCAGTATTATGCCTCTAAATTGTGCAGATCTAAAAACAAAATACAGCAGGTATTTTATATGTCTTACACTAACATCTAGATTCCTTTCTGAGTATACTTTGCATTGTTTGTGTGATGTTTGTGATGATGGAAATGAGTTTGTGATGATGGAAATCAGGTCTTAAACTGATTGCTGTCCAGGAAATAGCAGTACTATTGCTTGTTCTTAACAAAGAACTCATTCAGGGGTTAACTGAAGGTTTTGGGTTTTCTTGTAGCATGAAGAACTGCATCATTGGATATATACACAAGACATCTTTTCTCTCTATTAATATTTG